ACGTTCAGTATGATACATAGGCCTGGCATATTGTGCTAGTCATGTACTGTGACATACGCTCACAATGATTATACGTTCAGTATGATACATGGCCTGCATATTGTATTATTGTGCTAGTCATGTACTGTGACATACGCTCACAATGATTATACGTTCAGTATGATACATAGGCCTGGCATATTGTGCCTGTTATGTACTGTGACATACGCTCACAATGATTATACGTTCAGTATGATACATAGGCCTGGCATATTGTGCTAGTCATGTACTGTGACATACGCTCACAATGATTATACGTTCAGTATGATACATAGGCCTGGCATATTGTGCTAGTCATGTACTGTGACATACGCTCACAATGATTATACGTTCAGTATGATACATAGGGCTGGCATATTGTGCTAGTCATGTACTGGCGTGACATACGCTCACAATGATTATACGTTCAGTATGATACATAGGCCTGGCATATTGTGCCTGTCATGTACTGTGACATACGCTCACAATGATTATACGTTCAGTATGATACATAGGCCTGGCATATTATTATTGTGCTAGTCATGTACTGTGACATACGCTCACAATGATTATACGTTCAGTATGATACATAGGCCTGGCATATTGTGCTAGTCATGTACTGTGACATACGCTCACAATGATTATACGTTCAGTATGATACATAGGCCTGGCATATTGTGCTAGTCATGTACTGTGACATACGCTCACAATGATTATACGTTCAGTATGATACATAGGCCTGGCATATTGTGCTAGTCATGTACTGTGACATACGCTCACAATGATTATACGTTCAGTATGATACATAGGCCTGGCATATTGTGTGCTAGTCGTGTACTGTGACATACGCTCACAATGATTATACGTTCAGTATGATACATAGGCCTGGCATATTGTGCTAGTCATGTACTGTGACATACGCTCACAATGATTATACGTTCAGTATGATACATAGGCCTGGCATATTGTGCTAGTCATGTACTGTGACATACGCTCACAATGATTATACGTTCAGTATGATACATAGGCCTGGCATATTATTGCTAGTCATGTACTGTGACATACGCTCACAATGATTATACGTTCAGTATGATACATAGGCCTGGCATATTGTGCTAGTCATGTACTGTGACATACGCTCACAATGATTATACGTTCAGTATGATACATAGGCCTGGCATATTGTGCTAGTCATGTACTGTGACATACGCTCACAATGATTATACGTTCAGTATGATACATAGGCCTGGCATATTGTGCCTGTCATGTACTAGTGTGACATACGCTCACAATGATTATACGTTCAGTATGATACTGGACTATTGTGCTAGTCATGTACTGTGACATACGCTCACAATGATTATACTTCTCATCTGTAAAACGGTCTGACGTCATAGTATCGAGGAATACTTTTTAAAAATACAGAGTAATGTTTCCTTGTTTCTCCTTAGGATTTAATATTACTCACGGTATGTCTACCACGTGATGTTGCTGTTTATAGCTCGGCTTCTGTTTCGAATGGAATTATTTTAACAAATTTACATTTGAAAACTTTCAGTCGAAAACAAAGTAGGTTGATCTTGTAATCTGGTACTCCAGCATGGTATGAAAATGTTCATAAATTACCCACACATGTAACTCATTAAATTACCCACACATGTAACTCCTTAAACCGTATGATGAGCGCTATTCACCACATCTGTATTATTACTGTATTCACATGACATCTTTCATATACAGCAGAAACGTATCATTTGTGGATGAATTCTTCATTTGTTCAAGACAAACAGTTCGCTCTAGCCCGATGTATAGAATAATAAAGTACAGTTTTACCGTGAACTGTTATAGTTAAAGGGGAGAACGCTTGCGTCCTGATTTGTAAATGAGTTGTTATGAAGGGTATTTGCAATAAATGTTTCTGTAGTCGGTTTTATTTTAGCTTGTAAAATGTACAAGTGAATAATTGATTTGCCTTTACGTGTGTTTGTGAGACAGGATATGCTTACATTTCCCCATGTGGGGAATCGATCCCGGGTTTTCGGCGTGACGAGCGAACGCTATAACCACTAGGATACCGCACGCACGCACTCACGCACGCACGCACGCACGCACACACACACACACACACACACACACACACACACACACACACACACACACATACATACATACATACATACATACATACATACATACATACATACATACATACATACATACATACATACATACATACATACATACATACATACATATATTTGTATAGCGCCAATGTCCAGCTCAGCTGCTCAAAGGCGCTTTGTTTTCCTTCGATCATTGGATGCCAATCTCAACGCCGCATTTTATTTTCAAGCTCAACTCCTCGGGGGATCATACAACTCTTGCAGCCATTAGGCGCACCAAGTTAATGTGGCATTCCCATCCTTACGAGGTACCCATTCACAGCTGGGTGGACTGGGACACATAGTCACAGTACTTTGTCCAAGTTCACTGCACGCTGCTGTACCCGTATTGGTGTTTGCACGTATTCATGTGGCCATCATCTGGTCATTTAAGGATATATTCGGATATGTTGATTCGATAAGAGTTTTTCTTATTCTTATTGTTACTATTATTATTATTATCATCATCATCATCACCATCATCATCATTATAAAGAGTTGGCACTCTCTGAGTCAACAAATGCTTATGGCTTATGTTTATGTACCAAACCCTTTATTGATACAAACCCGTATGCTATGTCTCCAAAATGCCCATTAAAGAAGGCGGTTTCAAACCTTCCCGTCGTCAATACACATGTTAATACTACATAAAGCTGTATGATAAATGAGCTTTAATTGTTGAAATGTCAAAGGAATATAATATAAAACAGATCCTACCTTTGTGTGATTTAAGCAGTGGAATGAATAGTTTTCGTATCTGTTTCCATGATGAACACTCCTAACCATTTAAAATATGTGTGTAATGTGTTGGTGAAAAATTAATCTTTCGCCTTTCACGAAAACAAGGTGAGATCACCGAGCCCACAAAGACTTATATGTAAATCTTACGGCTGCGGGATTAATGTGCCACTGAGGTGTAAGGCTATACTAACCGACGATATAACTTACAAATGTGCCGACCACCACACCATTGTTGTGGGCCTTACAACATCATAATGTGACGAGCGTCTTTATTACATATTTCAAACAGATTTACCTGACTTTAACGATTACGATTAAGGCTGGATTTCAACCTGAAACCGGCCTTCTAACGCTGACGCACAGCTGTGGTAGCATTGAATATTGTCTACATTACAAAGCGGTTCTTGTGTTCTCCGGGTGTAACTATTAGAAGGAATACTCTTTAGATGATTCTCTGAAACTGGACTAAAAAATCCCCAAATTGTGTTTGTTTGTTGTTTAACGCCGCACCCATGAACATCCCAGTTATAGGGCTGTAAATAATCGAGTCTGGACGATCCAGTGATCAACACCATGAGCATCGATCTACACAGTTGGGATATAATGATATGTGTCAACCACCCACACGACCACCCGGTCCCGTTGGCTTGGCTTTCTGAAGACCAATTCTAACCCCGTTCTTCACTCGTCCCAAAGTTTTGAGAAATATTAGTTTCTAGTTATAGCCATAAGATAATCATCAATCGGAATAATTTGGCTTTGTCCGTGCCATACCCATCCTCTCAGCTTCCCCTATGGGGTAGGCGTCTGACACGTATAGAGTTTCGGGATTTACTCCCCTTTACTCTGCCAGGGCCGAGATGTAATTGATGCTGTGGGAAAGCAAATTCATTCACTCACTCCAGATGACACACTCTTGATTTCGTACAAAAATAATCGTTTATGCATTATATATTCTAGATCCCATGTATTAAGAATGTTCGAACTAAAATATGCCTTCTTTACATTTTCTGCACAGGAAAAATGCATGTACCGCCGTAAACATAATTATCTTCATTCAACAACCTATAATGTTAACGCCTTAGAGCGTTGGAACGACAACATTGTGTGAATCTGTGCATCTTGTCGATTAAGCAGTGGTTTATTGTGTTGAGTAGACTTGCACCTAGTCCCTGAATATATATAGTTTTGATTGAAACAAATAAACTCATTTAAATTGAAAAGGAGCCCCAGTGAGTTGGGAGATTCAGGGACTTATAACATCTACATTGGGACCACTCATGCTGGGGTCCTTACCAATTAGAAGTCACATCTTACAACCATCAGATAACGGTTTAAGTGAGAGGCATACTTATTGGCCATCGTGTTAAGCCCTGTCCCATCTCCATGGGATCTGACCAGAGTGCTGCCCTGAACTGGGGAAATCTAGACTTGCTTCATTTAGGGCTTTAACATTGAAGACTAGGCAGTGTAAGGAAAATAATGCGGTTCAGGGACTGTGAGACAGACTATGTGCTGAGATCCCAGGGTGTAAACGCCTACTTTAATACAGGACCGAACAAAGCCATCCAGTGTAACACATTTGCATAGAAGACAGGGTATCTGGTCCCATAACAATGTTGCACCACACAAATCCCCAGTCAAAGACTTTTATGCGCTGTGATCCTGTATCAACAAGACACATGACATCGCATGTGTGTAAAGGACATAACATTTCTATTACAAAGAGCAGCGGCGTGTTTGTCTTGCTTGGAACATGCACAAGAAATCCAACTTAATCCTGCTTTATGTGTGACACTGTCCTCACCGAAAGCATGGTACCGGTTACATTCATGTGCGCCGTGGTAAATGAAATAAAAAGCTTTGTTGTTGATAATTTGCCCTCACTTAAACGTCTTCCTTCTGTAGGTGTCTTAAGTGGGTAACACTATACCATGCAGGGAGCAAGAAGAGCATTATTATAAAGGGCAGACTCTCATCAAAAGGATTAACATCACAAAGCTGAAAACGCTGAATACATCATCATACATGTATTTAAGTTTTAAAAGCTCCCTTCATAGCTTGTTTATCTCATTTCAGATGACACAAAAGGAGAAAAGGCTCTGGCTGTACCTGTGAAGAAACCGCGCAATTACGCCGAGGTTACCTCTCCTGCAAGACCTGAAACAATTACATCTAATATCTTCCAGTTCCCACCACGACTCAACCATCCACATTTTAGCGCAGCCTTCAGTCGACCTCCCATAGAACACATCCCTTCAAGACGAGAGCATGATTACAGCCCTATTTCTCATTTCCCACGTCTTCCAGCCCTCAGACCGCCTGTTCTGTGGAATCATGTTATGCATGCGCATCCAGCTTCGTTTATGCACGTTCATTCTCCGCCTCCAACTTGGCTACCGACCCCACCCCCTATCAACTCTTCACCAAATACCTGGATGTCGCCTTACGCTGGGAAAACACCATCGCCTCTCGGAGTTCTCTCCCCTGCGGAAATACCGTCACCTTCATCGACAGTAATGGCGGAAGAACCCTCTTCATTCAACAGTGCGGCAATGCCAGTGCATCTTTCTTCTCATATAGGTCCACTTGACCTGATGACCAGACAAGCTGACCAATCGCAACCCTTGTTACAAGCGCCAGTCCCTCACTTCCCAATCAGAGAACGCGTTACACCCTATCCAAAAGTGAGAATGATTAATATTTTGAAAACATTATTTTGTCAAAAGACAACAATGGAATCCGAATGCCTTGTATTCATTCTATGTGAAGTAAAACGAAAAGTTATTTAAGTGAAAGTGTATCTGAATATAGAAATAGTGAACAATCGAAAATTTTGAAGAAGAAACTCATGCTTATAAAGTAACTTATTCTTATCCATTCCAGCCGACCGGAATTAAAGTAGAAGTCATCAACAATGGCTTTGGAATCAAGAATCCACTGTTGACCAACGAGAAGCCAGGTGCTATTCACCCAGATGTGCACCCTATTCGTGAGTACTTCTGTGCTTTACAGCGAGTGAGGGAGTGAGTGAGTGAAGTTCTCATTGTTTGGATAGGACGGTTGGAGAGTGGTTGAAAGAGTGAGTGAGTAAGTGAGTTTGGTTTAACAACGTTTGAACATTTCGATTACTAGTATGTCATGGCTGGTCACTTTCATACTGGAAGCCCGTACCAAAAAGGATGAAAATGTTAGACATTTCAACAAATTGTTGTGGATTAAACAGTTTACTTATCAAACACCAGTTGCAGAATTTCATAAAAATCTGTCGACATTGATACATCGATCATCTTTAAACCGTGACTTTGTTCCTCAATGTGTCCAAGACTATGACTATCTCTCCCCGAAAAGCAGATCCTGCACAGGTGAGGTGAGGTGAAATTGGGTTTAACGTCGTGCTTGAGAATATTTCGCTCATATGACGACGTGTAGGTGCGGCTGCTTGTACTAGACCAGACTGAAGCTGGTTTTATAGTGCTAGCCCACTGAGATACCATGCCGCAGTGAAGCATGAATACCCCACTCAGACACATTATACTGACTCCGAGCCGACCAGTCCTTGATGTACCCATTAATGCCGAGCGCCAGGCAGGGTCCAAGAAGTACCATTATTTAACGTCTTTTGGTATGACGCGGTCGGGGATCGAAACCGCGACCTTTCGCTCTCCGGGCGGACGCTCTAACCACTACACCACGGAGGCGGTCCGATCCTGCACAGAAACTTTAGCTTACTCTTTTGATTTAACATGTCTGTATCCACGTCTACTTCACTGTTCCTCTGTTATCACGAAGGAAAAAAGAAACCATAAAACCGTTATTCCCAGAATGGTTGTCTAGCATTAGTTCCTGGTTTATGCATGTACTGTTACACATAAATCTTTGCATAACATGTTTATTGCATCATGATTCCATGGGTTTTTTCAAAGGGTTTATTTCAATCTTGTGTATCAGGGAATGGTTATATACTATTCATTTTTTGCTAAGGATCAAATCATGGATTCAACATTAAACTATGATGTGGCGTCAAATTTGGTTTAAAGATCTAAGTTTATTGTAAGCATGGTTCCTTGGTTTCAGTATGTCATTTCATCTTGTGGATTCCATACCTGCCATTGACAGGTGTTGTTTATTTCTCAATGACTCGTTCCATGATTTGCAAAATGGTTGATTGGTGCCATGAAAATCATTTTTATGGTTCCTCATCTATCAAGTGCGTAAGATTAGAATAAAGTGGCTGTTTGCCTAAAGAAGGGTTACCATATCATTATTTATCCAGTTTTGAATGGATACAATTTCAAATTATAAATCTATGTTTAAGTAAAGTTGTGAATTTGTGTGATCCTTATCAAAGTGTGAGTAGTATATGTAAACTATTCTACCTTTTGATGTAAACTGACCACCAAAAGAAAGTATACACCAGAATATTTTGACAAAAAAATCCCCAGCCTCGTTATCGAAAGGTTACTTTGCCGAAAACAGTCCAAAAGACTGCACACACAACTATGTTGCCTTGCTCCAAGGCTCTTCTGAATGCTAAGCACATGTATGCAGTAATTTTATCCTAGGCAAGTCTAGATAAGCGGACGGTACACTTGTCTGTTATTTACATTTTTATGAATTGTCATTTAAACCATTAATAATTACCTTAGAGACCTGTGCAAGTCTAACAGCTATGGCGCCCGTATGATTGAAGAACCATTTGTAGTTAGTTCATCTTATCCTCGATCAACATTCGTTCGCTTCGTTTTTCCATTCGTATTCTTTCTTTATTCGTTAGTTTCCGGTTGTGTCGAACTTTGGATACCTCGAAGTGGGTTAGCCTATAGCTAGTGGTTAAGGTGTTCGTTCGTCACACTGAAGACCCGGGTTCGTTTCCCCACATGGGTACAATTTGTGAAGCCCATTTCTGGTGTCCCCCGCCGTGATATTGCTGGAATATTGCTAAAAGCGGCGTAAAACCATACTCACTCATTCATTCACTATTTACGTAGGTCATTTAACCTCCACACAACGGTGCTGTAGTCAACCAGGCATGGTGTAGTTTAACTCTGTATATTCTCCCATATTACAGAAACTTCCCCGGCCTATCTGATGACGTCAGAACCGTGTCACGCGTGCACCCTGTGCGGGTTCAAGACAGACACTCCTCGAATGCTGCAGAAACATCTCAAATCGCACAAGGAGATCAAGCGATTCCTCTGCACGGTATGCGGGAAGGGCTTCAACGACACGTTCGACCTGAAGCGACATACACGCACCCATACAGGTACGTCTTGATTTCATTTTCAGAGTGGGCGAATGTTGTTTTGCGCCGCAGATTTCAGTATTGCAGCTCCACCACGGCGACCATGACCATACCATGGGCAACCACTCATTCCATTTGGGTACACTGACATGTCATTAATTGTGAGCGTCAGATTCTCGTATACATATTTGCATATTTGGGACAGAAATCTTTATATATTCCCTACTACAGCCAATTGTGCATACAACAAGATGATATACTAACGAGTGTCATGTATGGAAACTCTGTAAGTCGAAAGGTGCGAGTGTGCGTGCGTGTGTGTGCATGCAAAATGGATGAATGGATAGATAGATTCTTTCATCTGGGCATATCCTACCATTACTACAAACAGTTCTTGTAACTAAGTTGTGGTGGAACTCATAGCCAACGTTTTCTCTGTGATAAGCGAAATGTGAAATAATAACTGATTTATGATTTGTCCAAAACACCACCAGGGAATACAATAATGAGGACTTTGCCTTTGCTGTTTGCATTAACCGTGTCCTGGCGGAATGATGCTTAATTCTTTCAGTCTCTTCAGTGAACCTAAGCAGCGTTTCGCACCCACAAGCAATAAGCGTGGTGTCCTACAGCAGCGACCCGTGAAGATCCGGATTAGAATTGATCTTCAGCAACCCATGCTTGTCGTAAGAGGCGACTAACGGGATCGGGTGGTCAGGCTCGCTGACTTGGTTGACATGTCATCGTATTCCAGTTGCGTAGATCGATGTTCATGCTGTTGATCCCTGGATTGTCTGGTCCAGACTCGATTATTTACAGACCGCCGCCATATAGCTGGAATATTGCTGAGTGCGGCGTAAAACTAAAATCACTCATTCACTCACTTAGAGTAGCATGTGGGAGGCAGGGTAGTCTGTTGGTTAAAGAAGATAGTCAGTGTTCTTTAAATGGGTATGGATGTATGAAAACTGTGGCATAATTGGTGTCCCCACCACCATATCGCTGGCAAATAAAAAAACCAAAAGCGGTGTAAAACCTTATTGACTTAATAATTATTGTATGCAACACATGTTTTTTTTATATTCTGTAGGTGTGCGGCCCTACAAGTGTGATATCTGTGGGAAGGCCTTCACACAGAGATGCTCTCTTGAATCCCACGGGAAAAAGATTCACGGGATGATGTTCACATTTGCCTTCAATGAACGCAGGACTAAAGTGTACGTGTGTGAGGAATGTGGTCACTCAACTAACGACCCCGAGGAGCACTTCCTGCATCTGCGCACGCAGCATCCGAACAATCCCGCCATATTGCGATGTCATGACAGACGGCAGTTTAAATTTGGAGGAAAACTTCACGAAAGGAGGAAAGTTTGTTCATCTGATACGGAAGAGATTCAGGTTACGTGACCAAACAAGCCAAGAACAAAAACAATACCTTGTCTTTGTACACCGCAGTGGACAGACTATCCAAAACAATAGGACTTTCCCACGTTTTCTAATTTACAGGTTTATATTTAATTCCTTCTCTCTGAAAACATGACTCAACGATTTGTTTTGTGTGTGTCCCGGTCGTGACATGACTAAATATATCTGTTGCTGAATACAATTTTCGGGAATGCAGTTCACGGTGGAGGAAGGAAATTGACCCTATTGTGCATCATTATAAGGAAGTGAGGAGGTCACCGCCACTATTAAGTCGTAATCTACCCAAAGGTTTGAAAAAAACAAAACCCAACGCACTGGAAACATTCTTCAACTGCACAATGTGCACACCCCTATCATATGTTCCTGGTAGTTGGTGACATTCCGAGACAAGCCGAATGACATGCTGCGGGAAGACACGAGTGGTCACGAATGCCATAAATCAAGATAGGGTTTTGGCAACTCACGTCTCTGTTATTATAAACGTCAACCTCTTCGTTCATAAAGTTCCACAAACACTAACTCTTCGTTCGTCCGGACCCCGGTAATCCGGACTCCCTATTTACTGGGCACTTTTTGTTGGAAAAGTTTACAACCTCGTAAAGGGTCAGCTCATCTGAACAAATTTGACTGAAAATAGTACCGTCCGGTCTAAGGAGGTTTAACTCTATTCACATCATGCAGCGGATGATGTTAAGGATATTTCAATACCACTATGGACAGTGAACAGGAATAAGTTCGACTTAATCAGCAGATTTTCATTTAAACAGTTTTTATCAGGGTATTTGATTTCTATTTAATGTGTTGATATCGGTCCCATAACATAATGAGGCTGTGATTTTTGCCCTTAAAGTGTTCTAAACCATGCAAGAGGATGAACCTGCAATATTGGAATGGCAGACATAATGCCATTGTTTTTCTGCTCTTCTTCTGTTAATATACACTGACATTTAGAAAGTGGTCAAACATGTGTTATGGTCAGTACTGGCAATTAGGTGCCTCACTCACATTCAAAGTACGAGAATCTGTACTTTTCTGAGAGAGTTACTGTATTCCTAAATTTAACATGTGTTCCACCTTCCTCTTTTTATGATATGTACATTCTTTCTATCTGCTTTTCACAATATATTGTATATAATGACATACTAAACTATTTATGATTCGTCATGTTTAAGTTTCATTTAATAAAACTGGTAATGTCGATATGCTCTATATATTCTGAAGAATGCTTGACCTAAATCTAGTTGCGTTACGCTTATCGTGTGATTACTGGTGTGTGATAGGTATTCTCTCTAAAAAAAGAAACGCATAGGTGTGTTTTCACGAATTTATTCTTCTTACTTTAAAGAGAGATAACACATGTAATTCTGGATCAGCTGCAGCAGTATAACAGATCAAATGTTTGTTAGCTTATCAAAAGTTCAATAGATGAAGGCGTCCGTCCTAAGATGAGACCCGTGAAGGTCCGGGTTCGAATGAGCCTTCAGTAACCCATGCTTGTTGTAAGAGGCGACTAACGGGATCGGGTGGTCAGGCTCGCTTGCTTGGTTGACACATGTCATCGGTTCCCATTTGCGCAGATCGATACTCATGCTGTTGATCACTGGAATGTCTGGTCCAGACTCGATTATTTACAGACCGCCACCATATAGCTGGAATATTGCTGCGTGCAGCGTAAAACTAAACTCACTCACTCATTCCTAAGATGGGTGTTGTCTTCATTATATGTTGTGGCCACCATGAGCCCCCCAAAACTGCTCTGCGCCTCCTCGGCAGGAACTGAATACATTTTTAATTCGACCTTGTGGAATTCTGGCCCATTCCTCTTGCAATGCCTGCAACAATTAATAAAACGTCTGGGGCACCGCCGCGATCATCCCACAAATGGTCGATGGGGTTGAGGGCGGGCAATTTTAGAAGGTCATGGAAGCACTGTCATGTTCTCATTCTGAAGAGACCGCCTCCGTGGTGTAGTGGTTAGAGCGTCCGCCCGGAGAGCGGAATGTCGCGGGTTCGATCCCCGACCGCATCATACCAAAAGACGTTAAAATATGGTACTTGTTGGTCCCTGCCTGGCGCTCGGCATTAATGGGTACAACAAGGACTGGTCGGCTCGGAGTCAGTATAATGTGTCTGAGTGGGGTATTCATGCTTCACTGCGGCATGGTATCTCAGTGGGCTAGCACTATAAAACCAGCTTAAGTCTGGGCTAGTACAAGCAGCCGCACATACACACACACGCGCATGCACGTCGTCATATGAGCAAAATATTCTCAAGCACGACGTTAAATCCAATTTCACCTCACCCCACCTCACCCCACCCTCACCACCACCCCCCACCTCACCTCACCTCACCACCACCTCACCCACCTCCACCTCACCCCACCTCACCCCCACCTCACCTCACCTCACCTCACCTCCTCACCTCACCTCACCTCACCTCCTCCACCCCTCACCCACCTCACCTCACCTCACCTCACCTCACCTCACCCCTCACCTCACCTCACCCCACCTCACCTCACCTCACCCTCACCCACCACACCACCCTCACCTCACCTCACCTCACCCCACCCTCACCTCACCTCACCTCACCTCACCTCACCCTCACCTCACCTCACCTCACCCTCACCTCACCTCACCTCACCTCATTCTGAAGATACTGAATAGTTACATTTGCTGTGTGAGGCCTGTCATTATCTTGCTGCAACATCTCCTCCCTCTGGTGGTAAATGATCGGAACCACTGAATCCTTAAGATTTCGTCTCTGTACCGAATAGCAGTTGAATTGCCCTGAAGTTAGATTTCTGCATGTAGGATATGGCTACCCACATCATGACACTCCCGCCACATCGGTCAACCTGGTCAATCGACCCAATTTTGGGTTTCAACGTCGAAAGACACGTAATCTTCCGTCACGGCACTGAAGCAGAAAGCGTGATTCGTCACTGAAACATACACGTCGCCAATTTTCTAGATTAAAAAATCAAACGTTATTGCACCACTGGACGGGACCGTCGACGTCTATGTAAGCGTCGAAGTCCAGCTTCGCGTAAACGAATACGAATGGTTTGCGCCGACGTTCTTCTCAAGCCAGGCACTGCAGTTGCAGTTGCAGTTGCTATGACAGTTAGATCCGCAAATAAAGTACCCGGTTGTTGCAGTTGCTGTGACAGTTAGATCCGCAAATAAAGTACCCGGTTGTTGCAGTTGCTGTGACAGTTAGATCCGCAAATAAAGTACCCGGATGTTGCAGATCCTGATGACCGGTTGTTGCGCTGTGACAGTTAGTGGTAAAGTACCCGGATGTTAGTGTACCACTTCGAGACCGATCTTACGACGAACTGGTTCGCTGATATCGGCCCCATAAACGACTGATGGTGATCACTGAGGTGACGTGCAACGGCAGATTGAGACTCAAGACGTCCAATGGCAATGTTTCGATTCACAGCAGTGAGACTCGGCATAAACATATTCTTTCATTTAGCTGAAAAAGCCCGTGACCGTCTAAAAGCAAAGCAGCCTAATAGGAAATGTCCCAGGTCACGATTCCTCAGAACTGCACGTGCATATTGCGAACGTCTTTTTTCCTTGAGATTTTCATGCAAGTAGACACTTTCGAACTTAAAACGTGCATTAAAATTTCCGAAGATGCGTTTTTGAGCTGTGCACGCGGTCCATGAACACATACCAGAATTATAATGGTGAAATTGTAACAATCAAACAATAACTTTGAAGTTTCATATACCAATTTCACCTCTGCGTTATTTTGTTTATTTTTATTTTTATTTATTTATTTTATTTTATTTGTATGCTCGTAGTGGTATGCTAGTATGAAAAATATCTGCCTTGTGTTCGCACGCATTTTCCCCCGGACACATACAAACACTATTAGCAAGATTTTAAACTTTATTTAAATGTGAATGCATATGTAGTTTTTGCGTATGCGACACCCATTGTGTAAATATAGAATCAAACTGTGAACGGAACAAAGCTCTACAGAATTCGTGTTTTAAAAATCTGATTGTTGGGAGAAATAGCGTAAAGTGGCAAGTAGGGGCTTGTAGTTATAACGTTCGCTCGTTATGGTCGAAAGGTTTGTTTGTTGTTTAAAGCCGCACTTCGCAATATTCCAGCAATATGGCGGCGGTCTGTAAATGATAGAGTTTGGATCAAACAATCAATGATCAACAGCATGGGCATCTATCTACGCAGTTGGAATACGATGGTATGTGTCAGCCAAGTCAGCGAGTGGATCCCGTTAGTCTCGCTCGTTATGACAAGGAATCCCGATTGGATGTCAGTTACTAGGGGAAAATATATACATTCCTTTCCTTGTCACTGATCTTCTCAGTCTTTTCAACCTCAAAAGGCACACATTGGTAGTGACAGTCCTTTAACCACCGTAACACTCATCACAGTCCCCTCAACCACAAAAGCTCATTGGCCTTCACAGTCCCCTCAACCACCACAAAAGTTCACTGACCTTCACAGTCCCCTCAACCACCACAAAAGCTCATTGACCTTCACAGCCCCCTGAACCACCGCAAAAGCACATTGACCTCCACAGTCCCCTCAACCACCACAAAAGCACATTGACCTTCACAGTCCCCTCAACCACCACAAAAGCACATTGACCTTCACAGTCCCCTCAACCACCACAAAAGCTCATTGCAAAAGCACAGCTCATTGACCTTCACAGCCCCTGAACCACCGCAAAAGCTCATTGACCTTCACAGTCCCTCAACCACCACAAAAGCACATTGACCTTCACAGTCAACCACCACAAAGCTCAGCCACCACCCGCAAAAGCTCATTGACCTTCACAGCCCCTCAACCACCACAAAGCTCATTGACCTTCACAGTCCCTCAACCACCACAAAAGCTCATTGACCTTCACAGTCCCCTCAACCACCACAAAAGCACATTGACCTTCACAGTCCCCTCAACCACCACAAAAGCACATTGACCTTCACAGTCCCCTCAACCACCACAAAAGCTCATTGACCTTCACAGTCCCCTCAACCACCACAAAAGCTCATTGACCTTCACAGTCCCCTCAACCACCACAAAAGCACATTGACCTTCACAGTCCCCTCAACCACCACAAAAGCACATTGACCTTCACAGCCCCCTCAGCCACCACAAAAGCACATTGACCTCCACAGTCCCTCAACCACCACCAGTCCCTCAACCACCACAAAAGCACATTGACCTTCACAGTCCCTCAACCACCACAAAAGCACATTGACCTTCACAGTCCCCTCAACCACCACAAAAGCACATTGACCTCCACAATCCCTCAACCACCACAAAAGCTCATTGATTTTCAGAGTCCCTCAACCACCACAAAAAGTTCTCATCCCTCAACCATCTTCACAATCCCTCAACCACCACAAAATTGCTCATTGATCTTCACATCTTCTCATTGATCTTCACAGCTCCCTCAGCCACCACAAAAGCTCATTGATCTTCACAGTCCCTCAACCACCACAAAAGTTCACTGATCTTCACAGTCCCTCAACCACCACAAAAATCTCATTGATCTTAACAGCTCCCTCAACCACCTCATTGATCTTCACGGCCTCCTTTTCCACTAGGAATGCTCCCTGGTCGTCACATTCCCGCCATACGCCATGAGCTTGTCTTCACGAACCAAACCATCCATAGAATCAATGTACCCACAACATCACATCACACCAGCTCTAAAGGACCTCCATTGGCTACCCGTGAAACACAGACTCTCCTTCAAACTCCTCTGTCTCGCATACCAGTGCATGACTAACACAACTCCAGTTTACCTCTCAGATCTTCTTCATTCTTATGTTCCATCTAGATCTCTGAGATAAGAGAATCAACACCTTCTTGTTATCCTCAATGTCAAACAAGCTAAATATGGACACCGTGCCTTCTCCTATGCTGCTGCAAAAGAATGGAATGACTTCCCTCCTTTCATCCAATCCAGTTCCGACTGCCAGACATTCAAATTTCTCCTGGAAACTCACTTCTTTAAACAAGCCTACTATAAGTTATCGGCTATTTACTCAACTTGTGCACTTGTGCAAATACTCTCATTTGAAATATTCATTTCAAAACCAAATCTTCACCTGCCCTCCCATGTCTTTAGTGTCCTCCCATTCCTTCAATCTTCCATTTAGCAGTTTTCATTCCATCTGTCATTTAACAGTTTTCTTTCCATCTGTCAT